CTCTGATCACATGTGCTGCTCCTAATGAAGACACTGTAGGAAGATGAAGGAAGGCAGGGCAAAATTTAGGGAGGAAGGACTCCCAGGGCAAGTTGAACAATCCTTTCTTAGCCTCTTGAAAGCTGAATGTAAACCAGCAGGTGTAATATTTACTAAAGAGTTTCCTCCTTGTTACATAGAATGTTTTGTTAGGAGACTGAAACTATAAATAGAATAAATTTATTGAAAAATAATTTAAAATAAAAATTAAATGCCTTTAGACATACAAGGCGGGTTATTTATCACTTTGAAGTCACTCACGCAATTATTATCTTTATTACTTATGTAAATTATATTGGGATAAACTTGGCTTCTTAACCTGGAAAGGAGGAGACTGTATGAGGCATTAAAGTTATCTTTAAATTGCTGAATTTGCTCTGTGGGTCCTTAGAGATTGGAACCTCAGACCAAGACAGATGGGTAGATTTTGGATCAATCTGAATATGGTCTTTCAAAGAGAGCATTCCAAAAATGATATAAGTGGATTTTGGAGTTGGTGACCACCTGGATGATGGAAGTAATTAAGGTGGGTAATCAGTTATACAGTTAACAGTAAAGATTCTTGCCTTTAATAGAACCACATTTGAGATATATTTCAGCCCTGAGGAGAGATTTACAGTACCTGTGGTTATTTCCAGACATACCTCCACTTCTGACAAGCTAGATTAAGCTGAGAAGAATAGCCAAAATTAAGTTTACCATGTATGATGTTAGACCTAAAATTGGTCAAGCATATCTGAGCTATTCTGTTCTTTGCTATCTTCCAGAGAAAAAGAAGCAAAATCCCAGAGAAGGGCCAGGCATTTAGCAAGAGCCAGGGCTACTGCCCCAGCAAAGGTGAGACTATTTGGAGTCAACTTGTCATATTTGCTTTAGAGATTATGTTCAACTCTATTCAGATCTCTTTATTTCTTAATTACTAGGTCATACCTGTTGTGAGGCCAGCTACTTAGAAGGGAGGGAACATGGCATAGTCCAGGGGTAGGCTAAATATCTGGTACAGCTTGTCCATAGGTCCAACCCATGACCCAACTCTCTGAAAACATCTGGGGCACTGACAGATGCTAAGAGGTGGTGTAAGCCAGTGTGATGTCTGCCTTCCACGGCCGTTTCTCATTTCTACTGTCCTGTCTTAGCTCCAACAAGAGAATTCACGGGACTGTAGAACTTAAGTTCAAGTCTCAGAATTCGGACAATTTATGTATATCTGGGTCTCAGTTTTTTCACCTGTGAAATGGAATGTGGATCAAATGAGAAACTAACTTTTAAAAGCCAGCTACAATGTTTAACATGTGTTAGCAGACATTTGACTCATTTTATTTCCTTTCTCTTTTCCTCTTTCTCTTCTGACTGAACATATTTTCTAATACTTGGAGATTTCTCCTAATTCAAGTAGACTTGCTTATTTATATCTGTTTTGCAAATTGGGATTCAGGCTAATATTTGTTGGAGAAAACTGTTCTGTGGTAAAAAAAATTTTTAATTAAATAAAATGAAAGAAACTATACAGATGCAACCCAACACATAACCATTTCCCTTTATAAATAATTTTTTATTATACAAAAATTCTTATTTATACAAAAAAATAAAAGTTATAGGCCCAGACTTGTTGAACTCTCTGTCACGATGTCTTACAATAAGTTATTGACAAAGCTGGGGCTATTGCCAGGTATTCTGACAACTACTCATATTATTCCAGGTCTCCCATGTAGCTTCTTCTCCAATATCTTCTTTCTCTTCCTCCTCTCCTGCCTCTGACACATAACTAAAATGATCAGTCAGGGAAGGCACACCCAAATTACATTAATATCCCTGGTCTAACCAAGCTACCATTCTCCTTGTCAGTGTTACTCAGGACTGTCTGAGCACCTCAGCCTCCGCAGTAGACCGAGTCAACCAAATCTTTGCCCGGGCTCAACCAGTCTCACTTTTAAAACAGTAACATAGTCACCACACAATTGGTCAATAACTACAAACTCTTTGAGCAAAAGGGAGCTGCTTCTATGTTCCCCCAAATCTGTGAGGGTCAGAAAACTTTACTGATACTTTTCAAATCTGCCTTTCTTTGTGACATTTAGAGAGAGGCTTATGCTATAAAATCCATTCTCTTCCTCCTCCTCTTTTTTCTTCATGAAAAACTGATATATCATTGGTGTTTAAAAATATAAAATACAAGAAAGTGACAAACAAAAATCCCCCCAATACATACACACACACACACATCATTCTTAAACCTACTGTTTTAAAACATTACTAGTGGTACGTTTTCATATGTAGACACACATTTACTGAATTTTAATGAAATAGGATTTTTAAGAAATAAAATGATAGAATATTAAGACATTATACTTCTCTGTTACCATTTTATGCCTGAATTATAATTTTGACCTCTAGATAAAGTTCCTATGGTTACATGTTTTGTTACCTAGGAAATTATTTACTTATAAATTAAGGCAGTTAATATTTAGCTGTTTGCCTTCAAGTAATTTCTGTCTAGATGTTTACTTGTCTGTGTGTGAATAGATTAATGCAATTATAGTATATTTTTATTGTTGTTATTTTCCTCTTAACTGTAAAAGAAAACAATCTACTTTCTCTGCTTAGATTTTTCCCATCAAAAATTAACCCTTTTCTCCACACCCTCTCCAGCATTTATTGTTTGTAGATTTTTTGATTATGGCCATTCTGACTGGTGTGAGGTGATACCTCATTGTAGTTTTTTTTTTTTTTTCTCATTGTAGTTTTGATTTGCATTCCTCTAATGATTAGTGATGCTGAACATTCTTTCATGTGTGTGTTGGCAATCTGTACATCTTCTTTGGAGAAATGTCTATTTGGTCTTCTGCCCATTTTTGGATTGGGTTGTTTGTTTTTTAGATATTAAGCTGCATGAACTGCTTGTAAATTTTGGAAATTAATCCTTTGTCAGTTGCTTCATTTGCAAATATTTTCTCCCATTCTGAGGGTTGTCTTTTCGTCTTGTATCCTCTTGCACTGTTGGTAGGAATGTAAATTGATACAGCCACTATGGAGAACAGTATGGCATTTCCTTAAAAAACTAAAAATAGAACTACCATACGACCCAGCAATCCCACTACTGGGCATATACCCTGAGAAAGCCATAATTCAAGAAGAGTCATGTACCACAGTGTTCATTGCAGCTCTCTTTACAATAGCCAGGACATGGAAGCAACCTAAGTGTCCATTGACAGCTGAATGGATAAAGAAGATGTGGCATATATATACAATGGAATACTACTCAGCCATAAAAAGAAACGAAACTGAGTTATTTGTAGTGAGGTGGATGGACCTAGAGTCTGTCATACAGAGTGAAGTAAGTCAGAAAGAGAAAAACAAATACCGTATGCTGACACATATGTATGGAATCTAAGAAAAAATTGGTTCTGATGAACCTAGGGGCAGAACAGGAATAAAGATGCAGATGTAGAGAATGGACTTGTGGACACAGGGAGGGGGAAGGGTAAGCTGGGATGAAGTGAGAGAGTGGCATGGACTTATATATACTACCAAATGTAAAATAGATAGCTAGTGGGAAGCAGCCGCATAGCACAGGGAGATCAGCTCAGTGCTTTCTGACCACCTAGAGGGGTGGGATAGGGAAGGTGGGAGGGAGACTCAAGAGGAAGGAGATATGGGTATATATGTATATGTATAGCTGATTCACTGTTGTAAAGCAGAAACCAACACACCACTGTAAAGCAATTATACTCTAATAAAGATGTTAATAAAAAGAAAATTAACCCTGCTTCTTACTCTCAGAATAAGATGCTTTGTTCAAGAAGTTTCCTCCTATAGACATCCTCTCTCTCTTGCATCATCAATTTATTCTTCATTACTATGTATGTCATCCTTTAACCTTATGACTCTGATATGCAATCCATCAACAAGTCTTGGTTTTGCATCCAACGTATATTCCAATTTGACTCCTTTTCATGATTTCCATTCCTACCACCCAAGTTTTCTGAAATCCTCCATAATTTCTAATCACTAACATCTTTGGCCTATGTAGAAACTTTTGTTTTTTAATTGATCAATTCATTCATTCAGTGTTTCTCATTGATTTAAGTTGCCAACTTTGTAGGATATTAAATTCATAGGTGTGTATGTGTTTCTAAGTTCCCTTTTTTGTTCATATTGTTCATTTCTTTAATAACTAATAAGACAAGTCCCCTTTCTTATCTCACTTTTTCAAAGTTGACTTACCTATGCACAGATATATATTTTTCCACATATATATTTGAAATAAAAAATTTACTAAGTTTATTAAAAATCCAACTTGAGTTTGAGAACTCAATGTGGTAAAGGCTACAGAGAATTTATAAATTAATTTGGGTAAAATTGACTTTTTACAATAGTAACTTGCCCAAGTCAAAGGCATAGAATATCTTATTAATTCATATAACTTTTGTGTATCTTATGAAATCTATAAAATATTCTCCACAGGTATTTTTTGCCAATACCTAGAAAATTTGTAATTTTATTGCTCTTTTGAGTGGTATTTTGTTGTTTATGGTATTTATATCTGATTATTGTTGGCATAGACAAATTCTATTGATTTCTATAGGTTTATCTTCTGTTAAAAACCTTTATGATATCTTGTTAATTCTTATAATTTATCTTTTAATTCTGTTGTCTTTTTCTTGTAAGTTGATCACATCATCTGCAAATAATAGAAGCTTTATAACTTCCTTTTCAATCTTGTCACTTCTTTCTTTTTCTTTCCTTATATCATTGGTGAGGATCTAGAGTTCAATACAGTAGTTCAACAGTAGCAATGATAATGGACTTGAATCTGCCCTTTCTCTGCCTATATTAAATGCAATATAGCCAAAGTTTCTCCATTAAGTATATTGTTTACCATAGGTGTTTTTCTATAAACTTTAGTAAGTTTAGAAGTTCCTTTCTGTTTTTATTCTTCTGAATATGTTTTGATCATTATCACATGCCTTCTCTGCAACTATTGAAATAATTTTACAATTTTTCTCTTTCAGTCTATTAACATAATACATTTTTTGATAACCATGCTAAATGTTAAATCATTATTATTTTCTTAGGGTAAATCATAATCGTAATGCATTTTTTAATACACTGTTGAATTTGCATAGTTATTATTTAGAAAATTTGAAACTATTTTTGTAAGTGAAATGAGTCTATACTTTCCCCTTGCTAATTATTCTTATCTGGTTTGGGAATCAATATAAAATTACCCTGAGGGGGTGGCACTTCAGACTATTGCTGAATAAGGAGGTCAGCTAATTCCCTCCCCAAAGAACAACTATAAGGCTACACAAAATTGAGTAAAACAACCATTTTAGCATTCTGGAAATTGACCAGCAGCCTATGTTAATCTGACAATCAGTTATGCTTGAAAAACTGTTGAACTCTGGGTAAGAGCAATGGGATTCTATGATGTTCTTGCTTAATGATAGTCCCGTCTCACTCCCATGGCTTGGTTGATATGGAGGGTCTACCAAAACAGAGCAGGCTATGTGGATCAGCAACTGCACTGCAAATGTTGAAAGGGGTTTATTTAATTTTGAGTAGTGGGCAACTGACATATCCAGAGATATTTTTGGTTACTCCAGTAAGGAGAATGATCTTAGGTTATAGCAGTAAGCATATTTCTGGCTATGTCTTCATAACAGGGCAGCAGAGACAAAAAGGGACTAAGCAATTCATAAAGTCCTGGACAATCATAGGGATGTGTGCAAGCACTTAGAAGACACAAGAAAATCCCAGTGGAAAGCAAATGCTAGGGTAGACGTAAAAGTAGCCTGAAATTTGAATACCCTCTCCTACATACACAGGTCCATCTG